CCCAGCACAGAAGGAGACATGCAGAAACACGCTTGTCACCCTGTGGTTTGTGGAGGCTACGAGTTGGAAACTGCATGGGTGGCCAGCCCTGGAGGGCCATGGGAGCACAGACGGCTCTGTGCCGGCGCCTGGGTGGCTCGGCGGGCTGAGCACCTGACTCTTGACTTGGGCTCAGTTGTGATTTCAGGGTCCTGAGATCGAGCCCTGTGTGGGGCTCTGCACTCAGCAGGGAGTCTGCTTAGGATTCTCTCCCTCTGCCCCTCCCCCACTCACCCTCCCTCACCCTCTCTCTCTCTCTAAAATAAATAATCTTAAAAGAAAAGAAAAGTGATCTATTATAAAATTCCTATGGGGGGAGGAACCTGGGTGGCTCAGTCGGTTAAGCATCTGCCTTCAGCTCAGGTCATGATCCAGGGATCCAGGTCCAGGGATTGAGCCCAAGGTCAGGCTCCCCTGCTTCTCCCTCTCTGCCTCCTGCTCCCCCCTGCTTGTACGCGTGCTCTCATGCTCTCTCTCTCTCTCTCTCTCTGTCAAATAAATAAATAAAATCTTTAAAAAATAATAAAAGATAAAAAATAATATTCCTGTTGGGAACTAGGGATTCATTCAATCATCTGGTGTTCACCGTGTATCTAAAATAATGTAGGCACTGTGCTCATCAGAGTAGACAACAGTGACTAAAAAGTAAGTAGAACTTCTCCCCTCCTGGTGTCAGTAGAGGAGACAGATGTGAATTAAATAATCTCACCAAGGCAAGGGGGAAGGGAGGAGATACATTGGAGATGGGCAGGATCTAGAGTTCCTCAGTTCTACACTTACACAAGCCACAGAAAGCCACTTATATCCTTGCTTACATGACCCTAAGGAACGGTCCCGCTCAGCAGAGCTGCAAGCCACCCAGAGACCTTGCTGTGCCCACAAGGAACCCTCAGGAGATGTCTGTCCCATCAACGGATGAAGGCTCTACAGTTCACCACTAAATGACACCTTCAAAAACTCCTGGGCCTTCACCTTTGAAAGGAGGAAACTGAGCAGAAAGGAGGAGCCCAAGGGCCAGGCCCGTTGCCAGACAATCACAGGTGTGCACAGTGCACAAGTGTCCACGGACCGACGACTAGTGGCCTTGCCTCCTCACGCCCACGCCCTCCTCACACCAAACTACTTGCAGTTCCTTAAGCAAAACACTCTTCCTCTCCTAGTTCACCTGGAAAACTCCTATTAATGCCTCCAATTCCTGATCACCCTCTCGGCCACGCTTTCCAACCCTACTCACCCTGGTGACCTTGATTTCTGCCTTCCTTCGTGCCGTCTGTACCTTGTGCTCGCCTCTACTAAACTCGACTCGATGATGAACTCTCTCAAACTAAACCCTATTCATCTCTTGTAGGCCAGAGAGGGGTCTAGAACCTAGAATACCACAGAGGCTCGAGGTGTGGCAAATCAAAGAACAAATGAACCCATGTCCTACATCGTGCTACAAAAAGAGTAAAGTCTGTGCCCTCAAAAGCTTACCATCTTAGGTAACAAATAAATGAAAAGATGTAGAAAAACTAATAAGAATTAAAATATTAGAATTCTACGGGTGCCTGGGTGGCTCTTGATTTTGGCTCAGGTCATGATCTCAGGGTTGCGAGACAGAGCCCCAATTAGTGGGGAGTCCACTTGAGAGTGTCTCCCTCTCCCCATTCTGCCTACCCCCTTGCTCCCCTGCACGTTCTCTCTCTCTCTGTCTCTCTAAAGTAAATAAATATTGGGGCACCTGGGTGGCTCAGGTCATGACCTCAGGGTCCTGGGTTCAAGTCCCGCATCAGGTTCCCTGCTCAATGGGGAGTCTGCTTCTCCCTCTGCCCCTCCCCCATACTCATGTGTGCACTCTCTCTCAAAAGAATATTTAAAAAAATAAAATATTAGAATTCTAAGTCAACATTACACTTAGAGAAAATAAATTATTGTACCCAAAAGTCCCTTTGTATATACCATCACACATCCTCACAAAATTTAGAAATCAAAGACCTGAAAGAAACACACAAAATACAAATGTAAATACAGTTAGTGGAATGTAAAGGATTCTTATCTTGTTATATGCAACTGCATCTTTAAAATGAATGGGAACTCATTTTTCATCAGTATAAAATACTGAAAATATAACCTAAAAAGGCTTACCATTTTTTCAATGGGGAAAGGATAAATACGTGAAATAAACATTGAAGATGCTTGTTAGAGATGCAAACTTGGTAGTCGTGGTAAGAAATATGCATTTTTTCATATATGATTACAGTACAGGTGTTAGGACGTAAACTGCTAACTGGCATCCAATTAAATAAATCTCAGGTATTCTAGGAAACCCAGAGCCTCCTGTCACAGCCGTTGTCAATCGCACGATAGCAACAAACGGCCGAAGCCCAAGTTACAAGTGAAGCCGTCTGGAAAACATACAGTACTTCTTATCGTGAATGCCTGACGCATACTGAGTCCTCGATAAACTTTTATTGAGTGAGTGATCTGATAGTCTTATTCAAAGGGAAAAATTATCTACTAGTGAGGCAAGTTTATCAGGAGCTGGGGTTACCTAGAATACATCCTTCTCATAACGAAAACAGGCCCCAAATGTTTCCTCTGTATTTAGCACCCAGTTGCCGAAAGAGCTACTCTTTTCCCTTTTTGTGCCTGTCCCTCTATGTACAAACTATCCCTCCACGTACTTCCCATGTGGTAATAACACATCCACCCATCAGCCTCCCCCATGGCTCTCTGGCTACAGCCAGCAATTCAAACTTAAATCTGGGAGGTGAGTTTTAATACCGAGAGTTTAAAACAAATGAGTCAGATAAGGAAAAACTGCAAAGCAGAATCCAAGCGTCTCGATGGTTGCCAGAGGTAGGAATGAAAACCTTAGTGAACAAGAGTTCTGCCAACCAGGCACCTGGGTGGCTCAGTCGGTAAACCAGCCAACTCTTGATTTCGGCTCAAGTCCTGATCTCATGGGTCATGAGATCAAACCCTGCGTCCGGTTCTGTGCTCAGAGGGAGTCTGCTTGGATATCTTCTCCCTCTGCCCCTCCCCCTGCTCACACTTTGTCTCTATCTCTAAAATAAAAGAAAAATAACAAAATTAAGAAAATAAATGTTAAGAGGCTTTAAAAAAAAAGAAAAATAACAAAATTAAGAAAATAAATGTTAAGAGGCTTTAAAAAAAAAAGAAAAATAACAAAATTAAAAAAGAGTTCTGCCAAACAAAAAAATAAATAAATAAAGCTCCAGCCAAACATCCTTAGAATAAAGACCAATGAAAGGAAGCACACAGGGAGTGTGGCAGAAGGTAAAGGAAGCCTCAAGACCCTCATCATCCCTCATTCATTCATGCATTTATGTGCTAAGGGTTGTCGGAGACAGAAAAAGGAAAAAGTCTTCATTCCTGCTGTGAAGGACTCCATCCATCCATAAAATGGCCACAAAGAGCTATCACACAAGGAAGAAAGCAACAATGCATAAAGGAGGTACAAAAAAGTGTGTTCAGAGACAGAAGAAATCTCCTATTTAGGAAGTTATTAGATACCAGGATTTTGAAAAGATGAGAACATTAGGAGAAAAAAAGCAATCACTGCTAATCCTTGTTCTTCTGTCTCGCTACAATGCCATCTGCCATACTGTCTGCCCAACCTCAGGGCCTCTGGCACCTCCTGAAACAACACCCAGGAAGGGAGGACTGATGGCAGGCGACCACCAAACTCCACAGAGCAGTACCATGAGCCAGGCTGTGTAGTCAGCCACCTCAGCTCACAATCTCCCCTACAAGGTACAAACTGTTATCTTCTCCAGTTCACAAGAAAGAAAATGGGGCACAGAGAAGTTAAGTGACTTGCCCAAGGTCACCCAGCTCATAAGTGGCACAAACAGGAGCTGAGGCCAGAACCTGGGCCCTTAGCCATGAAACCTGTCGCTACCTCCCGGCTGAGAACCTGTGGACATTTATCAGGACATACACAGCTGGAGGACGCAGGCGATTTTGACCGACTTGGCCCTGTAAGCACACTCACATATTTCCCACTATTCCTATTTGTGCAACAAAAATGTGCACACCATTCCTGACCTGGTTTTGAAAATGAGTTATCACAATCTTTAATGGGATATTTGCTTTGTTAATGGGGAGGGGGGGGGTGTGCCTGTTTCATGAGGGGGCCAGTGGCCAGAAGTAGTTAAATCAGAGTCTTGACCGGCGCTGGTGGGCACCACCCCTTACGGGTCATCTCAAAATCTTGGGCAAAATGCCCAGCTTTGCTTGTTTCTTCCCCAGAGTGGCTGCACCGACAGTGTCATCCCACGAAGTAGGCAAAACCACCTGATGGTGTCCACATAAACAGGCCAAGCACCGACTGCGCCATACCCAAGGCTTTGGTGACTGAGGTCCTAAGTCCTCTGCGTCTGCAGGAGGCAAGCCCCGAGGCGACCACAGAAAGGCTTTCCCCGTGCAGGGTCGCTGCCAATCCCTGAAGCACTTCGCTGCTCCCTCCAGAGCACAGGGCCCTGCACCCCCGGGCCCGGAGGGGGCTGTGTCACCTCGCCCCGGGCCAGGGAGGAGGCAGGCTCCGGACGAGCTCGGGGCGGGACCACAAAACTTCACCCAGATTCCTCATTCGGGTGAACTCACCGCTTCGTGGAGGACCGGGGCCCTGTCTGACCGGCCTGGCAGCCCCAGGAAGGCGGGCGCGGGCTCCCCCACCTGCCGGGCATCCCTGGAGAGCTCGGCGGCGACGAGGGGGAGCAGGGGGCTGGGGGTGCCGCCGAGGGCCCACCTGACCGCGCCGACACGGCCAATGTCCGCCGAATCGTCCGAAACACATTCCCACGATTTCCAAGAGGGCCCCGCGGCGGGAGAGCGCGCGGCGCCGCACAAAGCCAGGTGAGCCGCCACGTCCCCGCCGCACGTGCTGAGCCGCCGGAACCCGCCCGGGAGTCCGCGCGGCCGCCCCCCACTTCCCGGCCGGCCGCCCCCGCACTCACCAGGTGAAGAGCTGGCCTTTGAGCCCGCGCAGCAGGCTCCCCAGCGCGCCCGCCGCTCCCGGCGCGTACGGCTGCGGGACGCGGGGTCCCGCCGGCGAGGCCGCCTCCATGCAGGCTCGGCGCCCGGAACCCCCCGACGTGCCGGGGCGGGGAGGACGGGGGGCGGCGCCTGGGCGGCCGGCGGGACCCGGCCCCGTGCCCGCGCGCCCGCGCTCGCTCGCGTGCCTCCTCCTCGGGCCTCCGCGGCCGCCCAGCCTCACCCTCCTCAGGCCTCCGGGGCGGGACCAGACACCCGCGGACTACAGCCCGGCCCCTCCCGGGGCGCCGGAGGACACGCGGCGCTGCGCTCCCCCGCCCGGGCACTCGCGCCTCGGGGATGCGTGACACCCCACGTGCGTTTTGGGGTTTTACGGTTCCCTGTTCAGAACCGGCTCACGAGGTGAGGCGAGGCTACGCCGCGTGCCCCAACCTAAAGAGCCGTGACTTTGCAGCCGCCCGAACTTTGCTAAGCGGGAAGGGCCGCTGACTCCTCCCCGGCGGGCTGACGCCTCCCCCGCCGGCCGCCCTCCCTCTCTTTGACAAAAGACACTTCCATCTAAAAGGACTGAAATGCTCCGTTGGGGGCTGTTCTTTTCAATGCAAAACCTGCGTAAGCGCCCACAGGGATTTTTGCGACACGTCTTCGTGGGGTGCCTCGCTCGTGAGGGTGTGCGCGGCGCGGCCCTCGGGGTGCAGGCTCGGCCTGCAGGTGCCCGCGCCGCGCTCGCACCCAGGACTCCCGGCGCCCGGCCACGCCTTGCGATGCCTCTGCGGGCGGAGGAACGACGAGCACCTGCGGTGGAAAAGTTGCCGACCGTCACCAACAGAAGGACCCAGAAGACGAGGGAGAGGTATGGGACCCTTTCTCTTCCTACCCACCTCCCTCCGCGGGCCAGGGTGGAGGACCGAGGAGGGGTGTGAAGAAGGAGCAAAATAAAGGTAAATTCAAACGAGTTGGCAGTTCCATGAGAAGGTTCTAAGAAAGAAAATAGATTTTGAAGAATAGAATGAAGCTTTAGGGACCCCAAGTTCAGCAGCTACAGAAACCCCCAAAGTTTAAATGAAATGATTATTTTTTAATTGTTGGAGAACAAGGTCATCCAAGAGAGGGACCACGGAGTATTACGGTACAACAGCATCGCAAGGAAAACAGCTGTGCCAAGACCTGGGAGGATTTTCTCTAGCTCTTTTTGAGTGAAAAAAGTAAGATATAGAGAAGTATGTTTAATGTAATCTCATTTTTCTAAACCAAACAGCCCATTAAATCTTATATATTAACAGTGTTGAATTTTACCTGAGCCCTGTGCTCCTGGAAGGCAGTAGCGGTTAGGAACCGCCCGGGTGGCTCAGTCGGTTAAGCAACCCACTCTTGATCTTGGCTCAGGTCATGATCTCAGGGTCCTGAGATAGAGCCCCAGAAGGGGCTACCCCCACTGGGCTCCCCTGCTGGGCTCCTGGTTTCTACCTAAGATTCTCTTTCTCCCTCTCTCTGCCCCTCCCACTGCCTGCCCCACCCCCCCTGCTTTCTCAGAAAGAAAGAAAGGAATTCCCCCCTACTTTGGTATTCTTAGAAGAGGCAAGCTGCAAAGAAACAGGCTTCCCATGTGACTCAGATAAAGACCCAGAGTTGTTCTTTTTCACCTAGGACAAAGCCAGACACAGACCCTCCAAGCTCCAGTCCTCTGCCTCATAAATGATGGCTAAACCACTTTTCCCCACTGACCATTCAGAACAAAATACTTGTTAACTCAAGTGACTAAATTCCTCTTCTTCCTCCAGGCCTGGGAACTTTCACTCACCTCAGCCTGAGCCAGCTTGTAACCATCCTTAATGCGTCCCTCTTGAGAACTTGGTCCCCTCAAAGTAAAATAGTCTCAGGCCCAGGGGCCTGGGATTGAGCCCCACATCAAGCTCCCTGCTCCACAGGAGGCCTGCTTCTCCCTCTCCCACTCCCCTGCTTGTGTTCCCTCTCTCGCTGTGTCTCCCTGTCAAATAAATAAATGGAATCTTTAAAAAAAAAAAAAAAAAAGGTAAAACGTTCTCTGATCTACAATTCAATCAAGCCACCCTTCCATCCCACTCTTTCCTCGGGAAGGAAGAGTCCCCCTTCCCCTTTTGCACCAGTCCTCCCCTTCCTCCTCCCAATAATTCTTTCCAATAGTCTCTTCTTACCTAAATCAGATTTTTAAAAAGATTTTATTTAAGTTATCTCCCCACCCCATGTGGGGCTTGAACTCACAACCCTCAGATCAAGAGTCTCATGTCCACCAACTGAGGCAGCCAGGCACCCTAGATTTGTTTTTCATTTGACAATATGTCTATAGGTACGTGTGCATAGAGAAAAGTGTAGGACACATGTCAACACAAGTAACCTGAGAGAAGTTAAGGGATACAGACAAGAAAAAAAAACAAAACCAAAACCAAAAACAAAAAAACACACAAAACTCCAGCATGTATGATATAGTCTCTATTATATAAAAGTGTGTGTTCTGTCTAAATATGAGATTAAAAGGTAGATTTAGATGTTGGGGCAGGCTGAATAATACCCCCCAAAAATATCCAGTTCCTAATCTCTAGAACATGAGAATATTCCTTTAAATATGCGGTGTCTCTCCCAATCGGATGGGGTCCCCAAATGTAGGGAGAGGGCCCGTGGTACCTGCGGTGAAAAGATTCACCTGAGGCAAAACAAAGAAGATAGAAGTTTCTGGAATTCACAGCAAGGGAGCTGGGAGGAAGGGTATGACAGGTCAGACAGCAAAGGAGACACTGCCAGGAGCCAGTGGGTGGGTCTGTATTTGAAGGAGGAAGGTGAGAAGGTATGGGAATGGAACTTACAGAATTTTCTTTTTTTGGTTACTGTGTCCAGGTGTCAATAACCCATTGGTCAGTTAGGGCTTACGGATATTTTCAGATGGGCCTGTGTGCATTCAGCCGGCTAAGGGCCCTTTCTCCATTCCATTGCACAAGCAAGCCTGTTGCCTAAAAGCTGCCTCTACAGTACAGTGGAAGAGATTTAGATGTGATTAAATGATAGATCTTGAGATGAGGAAATTATCCTGATTTATCTGGTGGGCTTTAACGTAGTCACACGTGTCATGACAGGAGAAAAGCCCATAGAGATTTACAGCGGGAGAGAAAGTGACACTGAGAGAAGCAGAGACTGGGGGGATACACCTTGAAAATATACCACATTTTCAAAGCCAAGGAGTCAACAGCCAGGAGAAGCTCAGAGCCTCAAGGAGGAAGTAGCACTGCCCACTTCAGCCTCATCTATAGCCCAATAAAACTGCTTTCAAACTTCTGACCTCCAAAACCATAAGAGAATAACTTTTGCTGTTTGAAGCTACTAGAAGGGTAATGATTTGTTACAGCAGCCATAGGAAAGAAGTAGCTACACTAACTTGTAGAGATCATGATACACTGTCGAGTGAAAGAAGCAAGTTACAGACTTGCAGAATAGTTGTATAACATGATTCTGTTTTAGTAAACACCACCAACTAAGTAACTAAGCATCTTTATACATACTATACACATCTATATGCGTGTATTTACCTTTGCTTCTCTTTATGTGAAGAAGAAGGTATAGAAGAATATATACCAGGCTACTGGTCCTGTTTAAGTCATGGGAGTGATGGGAGGCGGGGTGGCGGAGAGGGATAAGGGAAGAGAAATGTCCTTATATTATACATCTTCATTTTGTGTTCTTACTGTAGGCATATGCTACTTCCGCACCTTGAAAAATATTCAACTAAGACATTTTTTCCCACAGGTCATGTTAATCCTAATTGAAAACGCATTAGACTCAACATCTCACCCACACAGAAAAAGGAGGTCAGGAAATATAGTCAACCACTGATGTGGATTCTGAAGTTAAGGACAAAGTTATATGTATTTTCTAAACAGAAGATCCGCCTCAAAAAGCAGTAGTAGGATGGCTCTAGCTTTGACCCCAAAGTGAACTCATCCCCCTAACTAAAGATTATTGATCAGTGATCAGTCTGTATTATTTTGGTATCAGGATTAACATATATTGAGTGGATCTGTGGGCATCGATCCACAAGGTTTTGTCAAAGGAAATTCACTAAAAATAATTATTTGGTTGTTGGGAGATTTTGTACATAATAGCCTTACTTCTTACAAGTACCAAAAAACAGCTACCACTAATTGAGCACCTACTATCTGCCAGATACTTCACAGACATTTTCAATTCTGTTCCAGTTATCTATTTTATATATCAAATCACCCAAAACCTTAGTGGCTTCACACAATAATCCCTTTATTATCTCTTATGGTTTCTGTGGGTCAGAAATTTAGGAGGGTTTGGGCCAGTCATCAAGGTCTTCCTTGCATTTGCAATAAAAAGATAGTTGAAGCTGGAAGGTGGCAGTGTTGGGGGGTGGTCGGGTGTTAGGTAGGCTGGAGCAGTGAAGGACTGACCCACCTCTCTCTTCACTTAGTTCCATGGGGTCTCTTGTTGTGGGCTAATTTGGACTTCCTTCCAGCCTGGTGACTTTGGGGTTATTAGTCTGCTTATATGGCAACTGGTCAACCACCCCCAAGCTAGTGTCCCAGGAGAAAAAAAGCCAAAACATTGCTAATGTCCTCCAGCCAAAGACCACCAACAATATACATGTAGTTAAACAAGTAGAATTTATTACTCCTTGCATCAAGGGAGTAATATTGGCTTTCTCAGTAAGAGGATGTTAGAAAGAACATATTATAGGATTGGGGTTTTGGTTGAATGATTTGAGGAACAATGTAAGGAAGCAAGGATTTGCTCTGGGTTGAATGCTGTCGGACTGGATGAGATTCTGATTGGTATCTCAATCAATATATCTTATCTATATGGAGGGCCAGATATGGTGGGACTAAAACTCCAATTGGTAAAGAAGTAGCAGCCACTCATTTTGACCAAAGAGAGAAGGAGAGTCAGTATTTTGTGGGTGGTGCAGTGATCCTGGCTTCTGCTTCGATACAATTAGGAACTGGCCTTGTCTCATTTTATCATGGTCTCAGAGTAATCTTGTCTGAAGATGGTATACTCTGTGAGATTGTTTATGTCCAACACGAGAAAAAATGAAAGATGGCCTAGCTGTGAGTGCCAGGCCAGGTTCCAAATGTTAAAGCCTCCTTTTTTTTTTTTTTTTTTTTTTGTCTTAGTAGCTCCATTTATGGCCTAGCATCGAAAGTCACATAGCATCATCTTCATTATAATCACAAGGCCATCTAGACGCAAGGATCCCTGTTTTGGATTGAATGCTTGTGCCCCTCCCAAATTTGTGTGTTGAAATCTAATCCCCAGTGTGATGGTGTCTGGAGGTGGGGTCTTTGGGAGGTAATTTAGGTCCTCAATGGAGGCCATAGAGCTGGCTCACTTCTTCTCTGCCTCGTGAGGATACAGTGAGTAGTCAGTAGCCTACAACCCAGACAAGGGCTCTCCCCAGATCCTGACCATGCTAGCTAGCACTCAGACTAAGAGCTTCCAGAACAAAGAAACAAATGCTTCTTGTTTAAGGAAAACGGTCTATGGTAACTCGTTAAAGCAGCTCGCATAAATGAAGACAATACCCACCTCTCCCTGGGAGACGTGTCACAGAGAAGTCACAGCGGGGAGAGCTTGTGGGATGGGAGATACCATTGCAAACATCCTTGCAAAGTAGAGTCGGCCACAAATGCTTTCCGAAATGCTAGGCTTCTCAGCTCTTATTAGCTCTTTAGCCCTGTTTTTTCAGGTGAATAAGCAAAAGCTCAGAAAGATTAAGGGACTTGCCCCTGTTCTTCAGGATAGTAACTGATTCTGACATCAGTCTCCCCAGGCTGCTTCTCCAATTTAACTGACAAGCACACATGAGCCTCGTTCTCTAGATCTTCTTCTCCCTGTTTGTACAAAAAATTGTAAATAAACATACTCTGAAATCTCACCCAATATAACAGACTGTCTAATAAAAGCTGTTAAGGTCACATCCATATTGATTCTCATCAATCCAATAACATAAGATTGTGGTTCTCAGTGTTTAAGATTTTATATCATGTCATTTTGTGAGGCATATTTGAACACGAAAAATACCATATTCATAATGAACTACAAAAGGATCAAAAAGAAGAAACATTTTCCAACAAACTACAGACATCAATGTTTAAAACTCTTTGAATCCAGGGGTGCCTGGTGGCTCAGTCAGTTAAGCATCTGACTCTTGATCACAGCTCAGGTCTTGATCTCAGCTCAGGTTTTGATCTCAGGGTCATGAATTCAAGCTCACATTGGCCTCCATGCTGGGTGGGGAGGCTACTTTAAAAAAAAAGAAAAAATAGACTCTTTGAATCCAGAACTAATGTCCTTTTCATGAAAAGTAAATGGGAACTTCACAAATGCAGTCTATATTTAACTTCCTCTTAAAGCCCTTATATAAAAAGCCTTATTTTAATACAATGGGAGTTTATTTAGTCAAAACAAAGGAAATCCGGCCATTTGCATCAACATGGATGAAACTTGAGGGCATTGTGCTAAGTGAAATAAGTCAGAAAAAGACAAATATTGCATGACCTCACTTATGTGCAGAACCTTAAAAAGGTGAACCAGAGAATAGAGTAGAATGGTGGTTCCCAGGGGCTGGGAGCTAGAAATGGGGAGATGTCAGTCAGAGCACTAACCTTCAGTTATAAGATGAATAAGATCTTGTATCCAATGTACATCCTGATGACGACAGTTAGCCACACTGAACTGTAAACTTGAAATTTGCTAAGAGAACAGACCTTAAATGTTTTCATGAAAAAAAAAAAAAAGGAAGAAAGCATGTGAGGGGATGGGTGTGTTAATTTAACCTTAATGTGATAATCACTTTACCATATATATATGGATGTCAGAGGGTCATACTGTACACTTCCACCTGACACAATATTATTTGTCAATTACATCTGGATGAAGCTGGAGGAAAAAGCCCTTATTTTAAAAGATCCACTTTCTAGCATCCTACTGCCACTACACATGAGGCCCACAAGACCCTGTCTTGTTCTAGCTAAGCCTCCTTACCTTCTCTTCCCCAGGTGTTCTAAGAATCTTGGTGTCAAGCTGTCTTCGATCTGAATTGCTGGAAGTACACAAGGTACCAAAAATGAAAATGTCAGAATTATTTGTCATTAAACAGAGTGAATCAATAATACTGCATGCTTAGACGGCAACTTTGGAGAACTCACATCAAAACCATTATCTTATGATAGGGAGTATTGTAAATCAATTGAACAGGTTTTGGTTGAATGCAAAGTATGTGCAGACCGCAGTTCTAGATATGATCAGCAATATTCGAGACATGAAAAATGCTTTTACCTTTTCTTCCACCTTTCCTTTCTTCCCTCCCCACAAACACTTTTAGAACACCTGCTCTAACCAGGCATTCTAGGTTGGTGTAGGTGCCATAGAAATGGTGGCAGGAAAAGTTTAATAATGTAGGTGGCAGGGAAAATTTAATAATGAAGAAGGCTCGGCTCTTACCCTCGAATGGTCTAAAATTTAATAGAGAATATCTGCATGGAACCCTACAGGACCCTATTATCTCTGCAAGGAGAGAAGAGCTTGAAACATGACCTTTTTCCAGGATTACTTCTTAGTCACAGCCAGTCCCAGCATCATGTCCTCTTTTCTGCGCAGTCCTGAAGGATTTCTCTTCCCTTCACCTCTTTTTTTTTTTTTAAACATTTTATTTATTTATTTGACAGAGAGAGAGATCACAAGCAGGCAGAGGCAAGCAGAGAGAGAGGAGGAAGCAGGCTCCCTGGTGAGCAGAGAGCCCGATGTGGGGCTCGATCCCAGGACCCTGAGACCATGACCCGAGCCGAAGGCAGAGACTTTAACCCACTGAGCCACCCAGGCGCCCCTTCCCTTCACCTCTTCCAGATGCTACTGCCTGAATCCTTTCCCCTCAGATCGTCCAGCATCTGAAATAAGGACTTAAGGGTCAATGAAGAGGAAACAGATGTGCAGTTGAAAAACAATAAAAAAATCAAAAAGGGGGGAGGGGCTCATCAGAAGAAACCTAAAGTTTGTAGTTACCCATAGCTATTTCCTATTGCCCAGTTGCATGGTTTCAAATACTACCCAGAGGCTGACGATGCCCACATTTTTTTTATCTCCCGTGTGGGAATCCCCTGAGCTGGAAATTCACATGTCTGACTGCTTACTTGACACGTCTACTAGGAAATCTTCAAGACATTGCAAACATGGCCCTGATGAAATTCTTTGTCTTTCAGTAACGTGTCTGTAGAATAGCTTGAACTAGTGTATAGCTGGACTTTGTTTTGTTTTTCAATCTGATGATCTTTGTCTTTTCATCAGAGTTTAATATAGTTACACATAGAACGATTAATGGAATATTCAGATTTATTTATATCAAACTAATATGTGTTTTCAACTTGTCTCACTTAATGGTACTTTTTTTTCTCTTTCTTGCTTTCTTTTGGATTGGCTATATTTTTTTCTCTATTTGTAAGTTATATAACTTTTCATATGTTTATAAACGTTTATGTATAAGTTATATAACTATGTTTATTCTTTTGAGTTGCCCTAGCTATTCTAACATGCATACATTTTTTTAAAGATTTTATTTATTGGGCGCCTGGGTGGCTCAGTGGGTTAAGCCGCTGCCTTCGGCTCAGGTCATGGTCTCAGGGTCCTGGGATCGAGTCCCGCATCCGGCTCTCTGCTTGGCAGGGAGCCTGCTTCCCTCTCTCTCTCTCTCTCTGCCCGCCTCTCTACCTGCTTGTGGTCTCTCTCTGTCAAATAAATAAATAAAATCTAAAAAAAAAAAAAAAAGATTTTATTTATTTATTTGACACAGAGAGAGCGCGCGCGCACACAAGTAGGCACAGAGGCAGGCAGAGGGGGTGCAGGAAGCAGGCTCCCCACTGAGCAGGGAGCCCGACATGGGGCTCGATGCCAGGACCCTGAGACCATGACCTGAGCCAAAGGCAGCCACTTAACCAACTGAGCCACTCACACGCCTCTCTAACATGCAAACTTAACAAAGTTTGAAATTAATCAGTGTTAATCCTCTTTCTAAACAATACAAGAACTCTAGAATAATAATTTCTCTAAATTTCATTGTCTAGTACTTTAATTTTTCCTTTTTTTCCCCACACAAAATAGATAAATTTATTATTGTTTCATACAGTCACTGATTATTTAGACATATCTAGGGCCAGATTCATGGATGTGTGACCTATAAAGTCCCATGGAGCCTCCTGCTCAGAAGGGCCCAATGCTTGACTCCTTACTCTTGAAATTTTTAATAATTTTTTTAACAAGGAGCCCTGCACTTTCAGGGCTCTGCACCGAGACCCCAAAATTATGTAGCCAGATCTTCCATCAAGAATTTATTTTCTGGGGCACCTGGGTGGCCTCCGCCTTCGGCTTGGGTCATGATCCCAGGGTTCTGGGATCAAGCCCCACATCGGGCTCTCTGCTCAGCGGGGAGCCTGCTTCCTCCTCTCTCTCTGCCTGCTTCTCTGCCTGCTTGTGATCTCTGTCTGTCAAATAAATAAATAAAATCTTAAAAAAAAAATTTATTTTCTTTCCACTTGAGTTACATCTTTAGAACTTCCTTTAGAGTGTCTTTTGATAGTAAAGTCTCTCTATTTTGGATTGTCTGAAAGTATCCTGATGGTATCTTCTTTTTCTTTTAATTTTTTTTAATTAAAGACACAGAGAGAAAGCACAAGCGGTGGGGGAGGGGCAGAGGAAAAGGGAGAAGCAGACTCCTCACTGAGCAGAAAGCCCAAGGCAGGACTCCATCCCAGGACCTTGGGATCAAGACCTGAGCAGAAGGCAGACCCTTAGCTGACTGAGCCACCCAAGCATCCCTCTTCTTTGTTTTGTTGTTGCTGTTTTTGTTGTTGTTGTTTAGATTTTATTTATTTATGGGGGGGGCAAGGAGGAGCAGAGGGAGAAGGACAAGCAGACTGTGCTGAGTACAGAGCCCAACATGGGGCTTGATCCCAAGACCCTGAGATCATGACCTGAGCTAAAATCAAGAGTCAGACACTTAACTGACTGAACCACCCAGGCACTGCCCTTCTTTATTTTTTAAGATCGTTTTGGTGGATATATAACGTCAGAGTGATGAATATTTTCTCTCACCATTTGGAATATATTTTACCTGTCTACACTGTTGCAACTGAGTCAGCCAACCATCAAATTACCTTTTCCTTGTAGGTGACAAGACTCTTCCTGTGGCTTTTTACTATCTTTTCTGTTTTGGAGGTTTTTTTGTTTGGGTTTTTTGTTTGTTTTTGTTTTTGAAGTTGTACATTTAATGTGATGTGTCTCGATGTTGATATATTGTTTGGAATTTGTTTGGCTTTGTTGGGCTTCCCAGATTTGAAGGTATCTTTCAATACATGGGAAAATATTCAACCATTAGATCCATATTGCCCTTTCTTTGGTCTATTATCTTCTTCAGAAACTACTTTATTTATTTATTTATTGGAACTCCTTTTATTATTATTTTTTTTTTTTTTTTTAAAGATTTATTTATTTATTTGACAGACAGATTACAACCAGACAGAGAGGCAGGCAGAGAGAGAGAGAGAGGGAAGCAGGCTCCCCGCCGAGCAGAGAGCCCGATGCGGGACTCGATCCCAGGAACCTGAGATCACGACCTGAGCCGAAGGCAGCGGCTTAACCCACTGAGCCACCCAGGCGCCCCTATTATTTTTTTTAAAGATTTTATTTATGTATTTATTTTAGAGAGATAGAGAGTGAGACTGGGGCAGGGGAATGGGGGAGGGGAGAGGAAGAATCTCAAACAGACTTCCCATAGAGTGTGGATTCCCAACACAGGGCTCAATTTCAGAACCCTGAGGTCGTGACCTCAGCCGAAATCAAGAGTTGGACACTCAACTTGACTGAGCCACCAAGGTGCCCCAGGAACTCCTTTCAGACGTAGATCAGACATTCTTATTCTCTCCTCCACATTTCTCAGTTTCTTTTATATTTCCCATATTTTTTCTCTAAATTTATTCTGGAAAATTATTTCAACTCTACCTTCAATAATGTTAATTCTCTTTTTAATTGTGTCTAATGGTGATTAAACCAATTTTGAGATTTTCTTTTCAATTATTTCTAGAGGTTATTTTGCAAATTTACTTGTTTCTTCCTCATATTTTCAAGCTTCACTCTTGTTGCTTTAAACAATGTTATTTTATTTATATTCTGTCTTAAAATTTCTAAAGTTGACATTTTTATAGGCCTACTTCTGCTGTTCCTTGCTTCTATCTTTTCTTACTGTTAATACCTTATTTCTCTCTTCTCTTTTATTTAGAGAGAGAGAGAGTAAGCATGAGCAGGGCAGGGGCAGAGGGAGAGAGAGAAAGAATTCTAAGCAGACTCCATGCTCCGCGCAGACCCTGACATGGGGCTCCATCTCATGACCCTGAGGTCGTGACCTGAGCTGAAATCAGGAGTCAACCGCTTAGCCAACTGAGCCACCCAGGCACCCCAATGCCTTACTTCTCTTGAACTGTTCTTTTCTTTGAAATATTATCTGTGAGGCAGCAACCTCTTCGACCTCAGCCGCAGCAACTTCTTCCTAGAAACATCACCAAAGACAGGGGAAGCAAGGGCAAAAATGAGCTATTGGGACTTCATCAAGATCAAAAGCTTTTGCACAGGAAAGGAAACAGTTAACAAAACCAAAAAACTGACAGAATGGGAGAAGATATTCGCAAATGACATATCAGATAAAGGGCTAGTATCCAAAATCTATAAAGAACTTATCAAACGCAACACCCAAAGAACAAATAATCCAATCAAGAAATGGGCAGAGGACATGAACAGACATTTCTGCAAAAATGACATCCAAATGGCCAACAGACACATGAAAAAGTGCTGAACATCACTCAGCATCAGGGAAATATAAATCAAAACCACAATGAGATACCACCTCACACCAGTCAGAATGGCTAAAATTAACAAGTCAGGAAATGACAGATGCTGGCAAGGATGCGAAGAAAGGGGAACCCTTCTACACTGTTGGTAGGAATGCAAGCTGTTGCAGCCACTCTGGAAAACAGCATGTAGATTCCTCAAGAAGTTGAAAATAGAGCTACCCTA